TCGCCTCTGTCAGTGCGTCCCAGGGCAGCTGTGGCTACATCGTAGCTCATCACCACCAGTGTGTGAATGTGTGTGTGAATGAATGAATGACTGATTGTGTTGTAAAGCGCCTTGGGGGGTTCCAGGACTCTAGAAGGCGCTATATCAAATACAGGCCATTTACACATTTAAGAAAGATGGAAATAATTTGGTCCTTCAGGCCAAATTCCTGTTTTCAGTGTTTCTCCTAAACAAACCCTGCATCTACAGGTGGACCAGTATTGTGTTCTGTGTATTAAATCTGTTGATTTTGTGATGTTTGTCCCGGTGCATCAGGTGGAACAGCATCGTGGAGCTGGTGGAGCAGAAGAAAGACCAGCTGGGCTCCATGCAGCGCCTGCAGAATTACCTCCTGGAGTGTCAAGAGATCAAGTCCCAGATCCAGGAGAAGAGAAAAGCCATCGACGCCACCCAGTATGTGGGCAGCGATCTGGGGGGCGTCCTGGCTCTGCAGAGGCGCCTCTCCACCATGGAGGGAGCGCTGTCGGTGCTGGAGCCCAAACTGCTGCACCTACAGGTACCAGGCCCGGCTCTAAGGGTGAGCCATGTGGAGCGTTGATCCTTTAACACTTTTTCCTGTGCGCCCATACAGGAGGAGGCGGAACGTCTGGCCACTGCTCACTCAGCTCGTACCATGGACATTCTGCTGCCCTTTGATGACATCAGCGTGGAGTGGGAGGAGCTTAAACGGACCCTGCAGGGATGTGAGGACTCACTGATGGTAGCCAGCAGGCTGCAGAGTTTCATACAGGTGAACATCATTAATTAATCATAACTAACGAGTCTACCTGCTGCTGATTCTGATGTAATATCATAAAAACTCACAGGTACAAAGTTAGAGGGTAGCATTAAAGTCACTTTACTAATTTATGAGTAAAAAAAATTTGAATGATAATAAACATATAAAGTGTTAAATGTGTTTGTTTTAAGTCTGATATTTAAATAAAGCTGGGTGAGGAGGTCCTAAATCTGCTTGTCTGCGTTAACTTGGGTTGTTCACCAGTGACTGACGTTTTGTCCTTCCAGGACCTGGACTCGTTCCTCACCTGGTTGGTCCAGACTCAGACGGCCGCCGCCTCGGACCAGCTGCCCAACAACCTGGAGGAGGCAGAGAAGCTCATCAACAAACACGCCGCTCTGAAGGAGGAGATCGGACGGTTGGTGGCGTAGTCTTGGGCGGAATCCAAATTTTAATACCGTCCAACTTCCTCCATGTTTTACCGCAGTGTTCGGTATTCCTCCCCTCTGGAACAGGCTGCCGAAGAACAACCATGTTCTTAAGAGCAGGCCCCAGACCTAGCTTCTTAGCTTTGCTGTTAACTGATCATTATTTATTATAGTTTGATTATTTGTTTTCAATATTTTAATTTATTACATTTTATCTAAATTATTTTAATATTAATTATAATCCATCCATCCATCCATCCATCCATCCATCCGCTTATCCGGAGTCGGGTCGTGGGGTCAGTAGCCTAAGGCGAGAGGCCCAGACTTCCCTCTCCCAGCCACTTGGGCCAGCTCCTCCGGGGGAATCCCAAGGCGTTCCCTGTCCAGGTGAGAGACATAGTCCCTCCACCGTGTCCTGGGCCTACCTTTAGGTCTCCTCCCGAATGGACGTGCCCTGAAAACCTCACCAGGGAGGCGTCCAGGAGGCATCCTGACCAGATGCCCGAGCCACCTCAACTGGCTCCTCTCGATGTGGAGGAGCAGCGGGTCTACTCCGAGCCCCTCCTGGATGACCGAGCTTCTCACCCTATCTCTAAGGGAGAGCCCAGCCACTCTTCAGAGAAAACTCATTTCAGCCGCTTGTATCCGCGATCTCGTTCTTTCGGTCTCTACCCAAAGCTCATGACCATAGGTGAGGGTAGGAACGTAGATCCACCGGTAAATCGAGAGCTTCTCCTCCTGACTCAGCTCTCTCTTCACCACGACAGACCGGTACAACGCCCGCATCACTGCAGATGCAGCACCAATCCACCTATCGATCTCACGCTCCAGTTTTCCCTCACTCGTGAACAAGACCCCGAGATACTTAAACTCCTCCACTTGGGGCAGGACCTCCTCCCTGACCCGGAGAAGGCATTCTACCCTTTTCTGAATCAGGACCATGGTCTCAGATTTAGAGGAGCTGATTCTCATCCCAGCTGCTTCACACTCGGCTGTGAACCGCTCCAGCGAAAGCTGAAGATCACGTTCTGATGAAGCCAACAGGACCACATCATCTGCAAAAAGCAGAGACCTGATCCTCAGGCCACCAAAACGGATGCCCTCCACACCTTGGCTGCTCCTAGAAATCCTGTCCATAAAGGTTTTGAACAGAATCGGTGACAAAGGGCAGCCTTGGCGGAGTCCAACTCTCACTGGGAACGAGCCCGACTTACTGCCGGCAATGCGGACCAAGCTCTGACACCGGTCATACAGGCCAACCCAAAGTCCCCAGACTCTGCTTCCTCACTGGAAGACGTGTCAGTGGGATTGAGAAGGTCTTTGAAGTATTCTGCCCACCGATCCACAACGTCCTGAGTAGAGGTCAGCAGCACACCGTCTATACACTATAGATAGTGTTGGTAGCACACTGCTTCCCCCCCTGAGGCGCCGAATGGTGGACCAGAATCTCCTCGAAGCCGTCTTGCTCCATGGTCTCACCGAACTCCTCCCACCACGCCCGGGTTTTTGCCTTGGCGACCACCCGAGCCGTGTTCTGCTTGGACTGCCGGTACCCGTCAGCTGCCTCTGGAGTCCCACAGGCCAAAAAGACCTGATAGGACTCTTTCTTCAGCTTGACAGCATCCCTAACCGCCGGTGTCCACCAGCGGGTTCGGGGGTTGCCACCACGACAGGCACAGACAATCCTGAGACCACAGCTCCGGTCCCGCCTCAACAATGGAGGCACGGAACAGGGTCCATTCAGACTCAATGTCCCCCGCCTCCCCCGGAACATTTTGGAAGTTCTGTTGGAGGTGGGAATTGAAGCTCCTTCTGACAGGAGATTCCCCAGATGTTCCCAGCAGACCCTCGTGATACGTTTGGACCTGCCTGGTCTGACCGGCATCCTCCCCCACCATCGGTGCCAACTCACCACCCGGTCACGGTCCGCCCCTCTCTTCACCCGAGTGTCCAAGACATGCGGCCGCAGGTCAGATGAAACAACAACAAAGTCGATCATGGAGCTGCGGCCTAAGGTATCCTGGTGCCACGAGCACATATGGACTCCTTTATGTCTGAACATGGTGTTCATTATGGACAATCCATGACTGGCACAGACGTCCAATAACTAAACACAGCTCAGATTCAGATCAGGGGGACGTTCCTCCCAACCACACCTCTCCAGGTCTCACTCGTTGCCCACGTGAGCGTTAAAGTCCCCCAGCAGAACGAGGGAGTCACCTGAAGGAGCGCTCTCCAGCACCCCCTCCAAGGTCTCCAAAGAAACGCTCATGTTGAAAACAGACTTGAAGTGGTTTAATGGAGATTTAATGTTGTGTTTGCAAAGGTGTAGGAGCTTAGTCTGTAACCCCTCTGCTGCTGCAGGTATGAGGAGGACTACGAGCGTCTGCAGACCATGAACGAGCTGCTGGAGTCCGAGGACGCTCCCCTTCCGCAGGCCGCCCTGCAGCAATGGCTTCAGAAGCTCGACGTCGGCTGGAATAAGCTGCTGGAGATGTGGGAGAGCCGGAGAGAAGTTCTGGTCCAGGCCCACATATTCCACCTGTTCCTGCGAGATGTCAAACAGGCCGAGTCGTTCCTCAACAACCAGGTGAGAGGAGAGGAGGATGATTAGGTTAGACTGAGGGGTGAAGTAGTCAGTACGCTGCATCATTTTTCTAGCTCCATCTTGGTGTGCCAGTTGAGGGTCTCCGGGAAGGCCGTCTCCCGTTCAGGCGAGCTGGGCTTCCCTAGCTCCCCTGTAATTCCAACCCTTCTGAGCAGTAGCCTTATGGGTGTGAGACGAGATCCGGAGGAACAGATTATTTTCTGATCATTTCTCACATTAGATTTTCATGTTGTGATGTGGTCCCGGGTGTTCATCCTGCAGGAGTCGGCCCTGGCTCACGTGGAGCTGCCCTCCACGGTGGAAACAGTCGAAGCTGCGATAAAGAAACACAAAGAGTTCACCACCACCATGGAGCTGAACCTGCACCGGATCAAAGCCGTGATCGAAGCAGGAGAAAGTCTGATCAGTCAGAGCAACATCTACTCAGAGCGCATCAGGGACCGCATCGACACACTTGCCAACAGGTACCAATGACAGCCAGCATCAAACCTCTTAGACTTTCTATTCTGTATTAACCGTTAAAGTGACAATGTGTAGCTAAAAGTCTGAAATGTGCAAACAAAACAAAAGCTGGTCTGTTCTATCCAGATCTGACACCTGAGCATGAAATCAGAGTGACAGCTGAGGTTTGGGTGTGTTCGTCAGAAACAAAAGAGTGTGTGTGTGTGTGTGTGTGTGTGTTTTGGGGGGGCGGGGGTCCATAAGGAGAGCCATATGGTTTAACATGAATAAACATACCGTGCCTTCAGGGTCAGATTAACTCCATCAATCTCATTTATTTGTGCAATAACTGTCCATTGGTGTAATAATTATTGGTGGTTTTATAAAAGTTTATCAGAGTTTTTATCGAGTGTGTTTTGTTTTGACACCCTCTCCTGCTTTCGTTTAGTTTGGTTTCATTCTGAACTGGTTTCAGCTTTTTACTCTCCTTGCTTCTGTCTCTATTAGCTCATCGATCAAATTCCCCAGCAGAGTCGTTTAGTTGGTCTAACTTTGGGTTTTACACCTCCATCAGGACCATAAATTAACCCTTAAATGTCCAAAACAAAAGAAGCCAGTTTGTCATTAGCTTTGGTGCAAAAAAATTCATTATGAATGTTAATAATAATAATAATCCATCCATCTGGGGTCGGGTCGCAGAGGCAGTGGCCAGGTTCTGTCTGAGGGTGTTGTTGGGTTAAAGATTACCGGGATGTTGTGTTTGGAGAAGATTCTTCTAAGTTTCTCTGAGACTCCTGCCGCATATGGGATGATGGTGCCTTTGGGCCTGTTGTCCTTTTCTTTGCTGGTTGCTGCTTTGGATGCTTTTCCGGACTTCTTTGTAGATTTCACAAAGACCCAGTTAGGGTATCTGCAGTTCTGGAGAGCTTTCTTCACGTGTTTCTAACCTTAACCCTTTCTTCAGTCTTCGTGGGAACGTTCTCAGCCCGATGGTGTGAAGTCCTGATCACGGACATTTAGTGCTCCAGTGGGCGATGTGAGTCCAAATGCCGATCCTGGCCCAAGAAGGGCAGTTGGTGGTTGTGTGCATCTTCCCTGGTGAACTTGGTGTTCTTGTCCACGGCATTAATGTGCTTGGTAAAGTCTTCTACTTCCTTTGTGAGAAGTCTGACCCGTGTGTCGTCCACGTACCTGAACCAGTGGCTCGGTGTTGTTCCATGGTAGGAGCTCAATGCTCTGCTTTCCACTTCCTCCATGGAAATGTTGGTGACGATAGGTGACACTGGGTGGTCCTGAAATAGGTGGTAGAAAGGCAGAGGTCCAGGAGCCACAGGTCTGGTCTGGAGTCTTCAAGAAACCAAGGAAGTCCAGTTGCCTTCAGTCCAATCTCGTTGGATTACCGTGGCCCGCATAACTGAGGACCTTCACCAGCGTGTAGTCTTTAATCAAAAACACAAAAAACAACGTTTCAAAAAATATCAAAATAACTACAAAACTAACAAGAAAACATTTTAGAAACAGAAAAATATCATCTCAATTTTACTGAAAAGTTGTAAAACGAATAAATGGAATTAATGATTTCTCAAAAACAGTTTATATTCAAATTAAATTATTACCAATGGCTCTGTTTGAAATGTTATTGTAATGTCTAATTTTTATTGTAGAAAATCAGTAAATAATTGGTTCTGTTAAATTCACTTTCCTGTCTACAAATGAATGGATGCAGTTTTTTTATCATTTGACTTCTGTTAAACTATCTGTTTCTTCTTCTCTCTCAGGGGAAACCAGAACAGGGAGCAGGCTCAGCGCTGGCTGGAAAAACTCAACGACCAGTGGGAACTCCAGAGGTTCCTCCAAGACTGTCATGAGGTAGGAGGCCGTGATGGTGGGAATGCCTCCCCTTTTCATGGTGGGTCCACCACTGCCAAAACCTGAATGGGAGTCTATGAGAGGACAAAAGTTATTTTCTGATATGGGCCATGGATTTAAAGTGACAGTGTGTATTTTTCCTGGCGATAGGGGGCAGTAGATACCTAAATTGTTGCAAGCAAGCTGTATTTTTGTCTTGGAGTAAGACCTTACAACGGATGCCCATTAGGGTCAAAAAGCCCTGGCGAGTGACTGGCTTTCATCACTGGCAACTAGTGAAGAGGTAAATGTGTAAAACAACAACGATTATTAATGGTGAAAGTTTTGTAACTGTTTGTTACAAATCAGTAAATTAACTGTGGATATATTTAAACACGCTCTTGTGACTAAGATGAGTGATATTAATACAAACATAAATGTTACTGACATATAGGCGAATTTCCTTTCAGAATTCAGATTTTTGGCTCTACACACCACAATGGATATCAAATGAAAGGAACAAGATGTGCTTTAACTGCAGACTGCCAGCTTTTATTTGAGGGTATTTACATCCAAATCAGGTGAACGGTGTAGGAATTACAACAGTTTCATATGTGCCTCCCACTTGTTAAGGGACCAAGAGTAATGGGACAGAATAAGAACCATAAATCAAACTTATACATTTCAATACTTGGTTGCAAATCCTTTGCAGTAAATTACCGCCTGAAGTCTGGAACACGTAGACATCACCAGACGTTGGGTTTCATCCCTGGTGATGCTCTGCCAGGCCTCTACTGCAACAGTCTTCAGTTCCTGCTTGTTCCTGGGGCCTTTTCCCTTCAGTTTTGTCTTCAGCAAGAGAAATGCACGCTCAGTCGGATTCAGGTCAGGTGATTGACTTGGCCATTGCAAAACAGTCCACTTCTTTCCCTTCAGAAACTCTGGTTGCTTTTGCAGTATGCTTTGGGTCATTGTCCATCTGCACTGTGAAGCAGGGGCGGATTTAGGACTGAAGAAGATCCGGGGCTTAACACACATGCGCACACACACATACACACGCATGCTCGTGCGCACACACACACGTGACACTCACTAGTCAACATCATATATATATATATCTTGTACCACATAATTTTAATCTGAAGCTACATATTCAGCATATTCAGGGCAGAGTATTGTTCCTGTTAGTGTTTAGTGTGAGATGATAGTAAATATTCCCGTTCTTTCTCCAACAACTTTACCTGATAGTAAGCTAACTTTAGGCAAACCAGCAGCACAACAAATATTTTCTAATAAGACTCACAAACCTGAGTCAGCACCAGTCTCATCAAAGCTGGGGTTCTGTCGCCGTACTTTCGGTCTAAAAAACGTCCTTATGTCCATCTTCACTCATGCGTTTCAGGCAGAGAGTGTAGAAGAAGCCGGCTGCTGAAGGGCTTCTTCTTCAGTGGTGGAGGCTCAGGCAGGCTGTATACAAACTACTGCCAGCTGCTCCCTCTCTGTTGGACTTTGGTACTGCATGTTACTTCCATGTTTTAGATCCGGGGCTTTCCATGAAAGATACGGGGCTTCAGCCCAAGTAGCCGGGCCTAACGCCGCCCCTGCTGTGAAGCGCCGTCCAATTGAGTTCTGAGGCATTTGGCTGAATAAGAGCAGATAATATTGCCCGAAACACTTCAGAATTCATCGTGCTGCTTTTGTCAGCAGTCACATCATCAATAAATCCAAGAGAACCAGTTTCACTGGCAGCCACACACACCCACGCCATGACACTTCCAGCACCATGCTTCACTGATGAGGTGGTATGCTTAGGATCATGAGCAGTTCCTTTGTCTCCATACTCTTCTCTTCCCATCACTCTGGTACCAGTTGGTCTTGTCTCATCTGTCCGTAGGATGTTGTTCCAGAACTGTGAAGGCTTTTTTAGATGTTGTCTGGCAAACTCTAATCTGGCCTTCCTGTTTTTGGGGCTCACCAATGGTTTACATCTTGTGGTGAACCCTCTGTATTCACACTGGTGGAGTCTTCTCTTGATTGTTGACTTTGACACAGATGCACCTACCTCCTGGAGAGTGTTCTTGATCTGGCCAACTGTTGTGAAGGGTGTTTTCTTCACCAGGGAAAGGATTCTTTGGCCATGCACCACAGTTGTTTTCCGTGGTCTTCCGGGTCTTTTGGTGTTGCTGAGCTCACCGGTGCGTTCCTTCTTTTTGAGAATGTTCCAAACTGTTGTTTTGGCCACGCCTAATGTTTCTGCTGTCTCTCTGATAGGTTTCTTTTGTTTTTTCAGCCTAATGATGGCTTGCTTCACTGACAGTGACAGCTCTTTGGATCTCATCTTGACAGTTGACAGCAACAGATCCCAAATGCAAATAGCACACTGGAAATGAACTCTGGACCTTTTATCTGCTCATTGTAATTGGGATGATGAGGGAATAACACACACCTGGCCATGGAACAGCCGAGATTGTCCCATTACTTTTGGTCCCTTAACAAGTGGGAGGCACATATGAAACTGTTGTAATTCCTACACCGTTCACCTGATTTGGATGTAAATACCCTCAAATAAAAGCTGGCAGTCTGCAGTTAAAGCACATCTTGTTCGTTTCATTTGATATCCATTGTGGTGTATAGAGCTAAAAATGTTAGCATTGTGTCAATGTCCCAGTATTTATGGACCTGACTGTATAAATATCAGATGGGAAAGAGGGAGCTATACAACACCAATTTAATACATGATATAGGGAGCCTAAAGCCTGGGGCGCGCCGCGGCACAGTTGTTTACAACAGACATTACGATGCAGAACGACTATACGGCACAAACCCATCCGCAGTTTTGATAACTTTAAAGTACTATTGATCCTAAAATATTTTAATAAATCGCGTACTTACCCATTTTATTGAATTAGAGTCTCACAAAACACCACGGCAAGTCTGATCACGTATAAACAATAGAGTCACTTCCCGCTTCCTGTTCTCAAGTCCTGTGTGATGTCGTGACTATCGCGTGACTTTCCAAGAAGCACTCAGCGGCGTGTCCTGTGTGACCACTTGACTTCTCAAAACCATGGCGGGTTCGCCTCCGGTATGCCCCAGGCTTAAGTCACGCCCATCTCCCGGACCAATGGGCCTAAAAAACGCTACTTTCTAATCCCGCATGGATTTCACACATGATGTCCGTGAATTTTAAAGACGCATTAAAGGCGCTTATTTTTGAACGGGGGGAAACACTATCTAAAGTTTTGTGTGGAAATAAGTCCAGGACTACAAATGCGCTTCACAAAAATGACGTCATCGAACCAGACACGGAGAAAACTGAGGGAAAAGGCTGTAAGTTCAGCAAACTTCCCGCAGGAGGAAAGAACCACCATGAATCCGGCCATGTGGTGAGTAGCAGCTACGCTGGGGGGCAGGAGATCATGTGGTGACATCACATATGCGACTTGCCGATTTCTAGTTTGTAGTCATGCTAATTACGAACTTTTACAAGCTGATAAATCTCAAAGTACGTGACTGGCGTGGTCAAAACACACATCGTTACTTTTCATTTAACTTGCAGTACAACACGTGTGATCCAGGGCGTGAGGCAAAGCGGGTTAGAAAATAACTCTTGTAGCCCCGTTGACTAGCTTTTATTTTCCGTTCTTCCGGGACCCGTGAGCCGACCAGAAAGGGAGGAGACTTGGACTCCCTATTGAGCCTTTCATAATAAGAGTCTGACATTTCAGCCTCGTCATTTTGTTGTTTTATTTCATATTTTTAGCAGCAGACCATGGTCTTGTTTCACTTGAAACATGTCAAATGAAATTTTGGATTAATCAGAAGATTCAATAGAATATTCAAATATTAAAATATCTAATAGCTGCAGCCCCATTTTAACCCTTTAACAGAAAAACTAACGAACAGGAAGAAATAAAAACACAAACTACACCAAACCAAGGTACGTCTGAGAAGGTACAAGTTTATAAATACTCAACTCAACTATATTCATAAATTGCGCCTTACAGGCAAAAACATGCCACCTAGGCGCTACACAGACCAAGTAAAAACATAAAACATTAGGCCCAGATAATAACATTGGATCACATGATACAGACAAACAACACACTGAATGCATGGATCACTTTAAGTAAAACAATAAAAACTAGTTAGAAAGATTAAAAGACAGATCATAAAAGTAGGTTTTTAGCCTTGCCTTAAAAACCGCCACAGAGGTGGAGGCCTAGGGATGGTACCTTTGAAATTTGAATCGATCCGGTACTAATTCCCGGTACCTACAAATCGATACCGGTACTTAACGGTACCAATTTTCGATTCTTTTGAGTGTTTTAATATTTTAATTCTCTTTTATAATTAAATATATGTTTTTCTCAATATATAACAATATTTGATAAATATCACGATAAATAACATACATGTTTGTATTTTAACATCGTCCTTGTAGTTTTATAAGCTGATAATTAAACTGAAGCAAACATCTTCACTGTGAACTAAATTTACTGTGTATCTTCATTCCTTTTGCCGTCCTTTTTCCATCTGATTTTTCCTACTGGGAAGTTAGAATTTCCGAGGAGAAAGCGAACGCACCATTAGCTCATAACAATGGTGGCAATGGAAGCTAACATATCAAGCTAACGTTATCTTAAACAGTTTATTTATCTGCTGGAGCAGATGAAAACGATGATGCCTCACACTTAGATCGTTGTCGCTGGTTTCATCTTCACCCAATCACCCGTCGCATTTAGTAAAGTGAAGCCAAACTTTAGAGCACGTCATCACACATCATGTTCTTCTAGTCGAAAATTCGGAGTTCCGAGGAGAAAGTGAACGCACCATTAGCGAAATGTAAGCTAACATATCAAGCTAACGTGATCTTAAACATTTTATTTACCTACCGGAGCAGATTAAGATGAGGATGTCTCACTTAGATCGTTGTCGCTGGTTTCATCATCACCCAGTTACCCATCACATTTAGTGAAGTGGACCCAAGCGTTAGTGTGCGTTCTTTCTACCATGCTGCTCTGTTTACAACTCGCTCGCAGCGACCGACGACATAACGCTCTTGCGCATGCGCAGCTGTCTAGGCAAGTTCTCGTTATGAAGGACGGGTACCGAAACGAGGCACCGTTTCAAATGACGTGAATCGGTGCTCGTCGGTACCTTAAAAAGTACCGAATTCGGTACCCGTGGTGTTGTGCCAGAACAAGTTCACTGAGCGATCATTCGTGAACTTGTTGAGTTTTTGTTTTTGTGAACGTAAACCAAACTCACACACATTTTTGCCCTGTGAATAATAAAGTGCTAATGACTTAGGTCTCAGGTCGATGATAGATTTTGTAGTCGTATCATCTGACGTGCGGCCGTATGTTTTGGACACCCGAGTGAAGAGAGGAGCGGAGCTGTCAACTGATCACCACCTGGTGGTGAGTTGGATCAGATGGCAGGGGAAGATGCCGCGTAGACCTGGCAGACCCAAACGCATAGTGAGGGTCTGCTGGGAACGCCTGGCAGAAGAACCTGTTAAGACGGTCTTCAACTCCCACCTCCGGCAGAGCTTTGACCACGTCCCGAGAGCAGTGGGGGACATTGACTCCGAGTGGGCCTTGTTCCACTCTGCGATTGTTGAGGCGGCTGTTGCTAGCTGTGGTCGCAAGGTGGCCGGTGCCAGTCGTGGTGGCAACCCCCGTACCCGCTGGTGGACACCAGAGGTTCGGGGAGCCGTCAGGCTGAAGAAGGAGGCCTACAGGGCGTGGCTGGTCTGTGGGTCTCTGGAGGCAGCAGACAGGTACCGGATAGCCAAGCGGGGTGCAGCAGTGGCAGTTGCCGAAGCAAAATCTCGGGCGTGGGAGGAGTTTGGTGAGGCCATGGAGAAAGACTATCGATCGGCTCCAAAGAGGTTCTGGCAAACTGTCCGGCGCCTCAGGAGAGGAAGGCAGCAACTCACTCACACTGTTTACAGTGGGGATGGGGAGCTGCTGACGTCAACTGGGGCTATAGTCGGACGGTGGAAGGAATACTCTGAGGAGCTCCTCCATCCCACCTGCTCCCCCTGCTCCTGCAGATGTTTTGTTTTTATTCTGCTCTGAAGTGCAGAGTCACCGGCTTCTCTCTGGGGTAAAACCCTTAGTTCCAGCAACTTTCTGTCTTTGATTCTCCTAAATAATTCAGCAGAGCAGTTCCTCATCACTAATGTAGAAGAGGAAGAGTGAATCTCACCAAATGTGTGTGTGTGTGTGTGTCGGGGGGGGGGGGGGGGGGGGGGGGGGGGGGACTGTGTCAGTTTGCTGGAACCTGAGCCGTGTGCAGGTTGTGCTGTTCTCTGCAGGCCGAGTTACAGCCCAGTGTTCCCAGCGACTCTCTGCTGCTCTCTTACTTTTGAAACTGGGATGATTGTGTTTTCCACTAACAGGACCGTGCCCTGGGGGGGTGGTTGCAGGAAGCTAAGGAACAGTTCTAATGTGGGTTCAAAGTGAATCTGATGTGGCGTTTGAGCCTTTCACCCACAATAACAGCTTCCGTCTGCTCTAGAGTTTAGCCGTCTGGAATAAAGTTGGAGCAGAGAAATCTTTTGAAGGTTATAAATGGTGCAATTTCATAATGTTTTGAACTCATGGGGAGTTATTTCTCTAGTTGAATGCGTTTTCTTATTTGCCTCTGCATGCTGAACGCTACCACTTTAACCGTTTGTCAACCAGAATTAGTCTTTATGTTCGCGCCCAGCTTGGTTTGGAGCTGCCCATGAGGAGTGGAGAGCAGAACACGCTCAGGCTTGTTTTATTTGTGGAGATAAAACATCTACGACGTATTTTTTACCCAAGAGGGAAGACTGAACGGAGGCAGTGGAAGAGTCATGTTGCTCTTAGCCAATCTGAGGGGAGAGGTTTGGATATCGGGAGTGTTAAAAGTAAGTCTCTTAATCCTGAAACGTGATCTTTGTCCCACAGAAAACAACCACAAGGCTTCCTTCATCCTGGAGACCACAGCAGAATTATCGAAATAACCTTCAAAGACAACATCTCTGGGACCAGGATGATTTAGTGATGACTAGAAGCTGCTTGAAGGTGTTTCAGGGAGTTTCGTCTTGATGGATTTGTTGTTTTTGAGACAAACCTGAGAAACAAACATGAGCCTTTGACCTCTCTTGTTCTGTTTCGTTGCTTCTTTGTAACATCAGAAATAGTTCTGTCTCATCCACTTCAGCCGTTTCTCATTTCTCCTCGCTCGACTGTGAACCTCCGTGACCTCCGCAGTCACCAGGGCTGCTCTGTGTTTGTGCAAACCTCTAGTGTGAACGCGTTTCTGAATGTGTGAGCTGCGTTTGCTCCCATCTGGCCCACAAAAAGGCAAGAGTGGAGTGAAATCCAGCCGTGATTCATGTTGGAATAGTAAATCGGTCCTGCAGCATACATCCACCTCTGTCCGTGCTCCCGTGTCCCAGGCTCAGGCGAGCTGAGGACGGGTCGATGAGGAGCAGAACGATGGAACAAAGCTGCTGTGGCTGCGTTCTCTTTAGATTAGAAGAAAATTAAGCAAAGATGAAGTCTTCATGTGCTCACAATAATCCATAACACACACACACACACACACACACACACACTACATCGTTAGCCGTGACTGGTGAGCCTGGAGGCTTTGCCTACGTCCCCCTGCCCCCCAAAATTCACAGTCCCATGCTGTAGCTCCTCCTACTCCTCTCCTCCGGCTCTCTTCGAACTGGTTCAATCACTCATCTCAGGGTGTGTGTGCGTGTGCGCGCGTGTGTGTGTGTGTGTGTGTGTGTGGTGGGGGCTCTGGGCTGGCTGGGCTCACTGCCATCTCATTGTTTTGAGGAGGAGGGTGCTTTATTCCATCCTCTTCTCTCAGCCTCATTCTTATCCTTGAATTCGTCGCTGATCCACCCCCATCCCTCCGTCCTCCTCTGGCTGAGCGTAGTCGGTCGTCAGCATCGCAGCTAGAAACTGGAGAGCACAGTGCAGGCTCAGTGGGAAGCCTTCAGCCCATTTCCGCCTGTGTTTTCATCCACTCTGCATCGCTGCTCTGCTTTTATTTATTTTTTTACTGTTTTTCCTCGTTTCTCCGCCGGGCTCTGCAGTGAACAGCATCCTTTTCATGAGTGTTACGGCAGAAGAGCGAGGATGCGGACATCAGCGCCTCTCCGCAGCTGCCACAACCCCGCGGGCTTTTCCCGTTAAACACTGCCGGTAAACCAGTTGTCCACTCTCCAGCTGAGTTAGAGAAGAGCAGGTGCACAGGGAGGTGGTGCCTGCAGGCAGGAGGGTGTGGATGTTGACCTGGATTTGTTTCGGCGCTGAGGCTTTTTCCATTTTAGTTTCATGCGGATGATCAGCGTGAGCAGATTGGATGGAGTCGGGGGTTGCTTGTTGTGTGGGTGTGCATTGAGCTCGTAGCGGCTGGAAGCCCTTCCTGAACATGTGAATTCCTGCAGCCATGCTTGTTGGTACACGTGTGTCAGCCGACATGTGACTGCCGTGTGTCATTAGCATTCATGTCTGTGTGTTTGACCTTGTATTTGTTCTTTGCCTTATAAATCAAATCAAGTCTTTTTGAATATAATGAGCTAATATTAGCTTACTTAGTGATGACATGAGCATGTAAATGCCACAAATGTGCGTTGTTGTCAGGTGAAGCTCTCACAGGTACATGCAGAAAAGACTCTTGTTGGTTTTAACATGAAGCCCTTAAACAAGAGTCACGTTCCACCTAACATTATTGCTCTCTGTCCTCTCCAGCTGGGGGACTGGGTGTACGAGAAGATGCTAATGGCGAGGGACAGCAGTCGAGACGAGACCCAGAAGCTTCATAAGAAATGGCAGAAGCACCAGGCTTTTATGGCGGAGTTGGCCCAAAACAAGGAATGGCTGGATAAAATCGAAAAGGTGAGTGCTGCCGGTGGTTGGGATAATGCAGACACATCTCTGTGGTGTGGAGGCTTACTGGGTCGCTGTGCTTCTGAGTGCTGGTGCCGTTGGCTCTGTGGAGACGGGAGTGCTTTTAAAACATTCTGTTATCAAGTTTGACTGGATAAGCAACCAGAGCAGAGTTAATGTTGTTTAGGTGGACTTGTCTGCACTTCTAATGAAATGAGCTAGAAATAACAGTTTTATATAAACATAATTTGGTTTTATATGTAAATAAAATTAATAACACTCACCAAATTTGCTGATTCTAGACGAAAACCATCCTCCTCTCCTCCATAACTTAGTCATGGAGCTGTTTAGTTCCACCAGGAAGTCCTTTTCTACGGCCACGGAGGCCACGGCTGACTCGCCTCTGGCTGAGACAAGCTAGCGACGGAGTGGACGGCCTCTTGTAACGATGTCCGGCTTCTCTGGAAAAGTCCGTCTTGAAAATGGAACTAAACAATCCCTGAGATCAAATCCATTTATTCTTCTCCGTTAGTTTGCCATCTGTTGACAAGTGATGACGACGATGCTGGTGGGCGGCCGAGTTTTACCCATAATACACTTGGTGACGATTTCGGAGATCCACTTGTAAATTAGCAGGTCATGAATCGATATGGTACCTATTCTTTGTGACCAGATGTTGGATGGTCAAACTGAATCTAAAAACTGACTATTGCTGGACATAGCATACCGATACTTAACGGTACCAATTTTTGATACTTTTGAGTGTTTAATAATTATTTCAATTGCATTTTTAATTAGATAAATATTATTTTCCCATGTAACCATATTTGATAAATATGATGCTAAATAATGTATTTTATTGTCGGAAGGTTGCAGGTTCGAGCCCCGCTCAGTCTGTCGCTGTCGTTGTGTCCTTGGGCAAGACACTTAACCCACCTTGCCTGCTGGTGGTGGTCGGAGGGACCGGTGGCGCCAGTGCTCGGCAGCCTCGCCTCTGTCAGTGCACCCCAGGGCAGCTGTGGCTACATCGTAGCTCATCACCACCAGTGTGTGAATGTGTGTGTGAATGGGTGAATGACTGATTGTGTTGTAAAGCGCCTTGGGGGGTTCCAGGACTCTAGAAGGCGCTATATCAAATACAGGCCATTTACCATTTGTACAAACTTCTTCTACATGAAAACATTTAACAACTGTTTCTAAATGAGGCAAAAACAAAGCCAGCTCCATGGACTCCTAATCCTCTTCTAATCCCTCTAGAATAACTCTGATGAGGACACCATGTGTTATAAACTACAGATGAAACTTAAACAAACTTCGATTCCTACAACAGTTTGTATTTTAGTATTGAGGTGTTTCACTAACTAAACCAGCTCCAGGTACTCCTGTTCCTCTCCTTTCTCCTCTGGACCAACTGTCTGATGGGGGTCCTTGTAGTTTTATAAACTGTGATGGTAGTCCTTGTAGTTTTATAAACTGTGTGATGGTGGGGCCTTGTAGTTTATAAACTGTGTGATGGTGGTCCTTGTAGTTTAGAAACTGTGTGATGGTGGTCCTTGTAGTTTAGAAACTGTGTGATGGTGGTATTTGTAGTTTTATTAACTGTGTGATGGTGGTCCTTGTAGTTTTAGAAAATGTGTGATGGTGGTATTTGTAGTTTTATTAACTGTGTGATGGTGGTCCTTGTTGTTTTAGAAACTGCGTGATGGGGTCCTTGTAGTTTTATAAACTGTGTGATGGTGGTCCTTGTAGTTTAGAAACTGTGTGATGGTGGTCCTTGTAGTTTTAGAAACTGTGTGATGGTGTGGCCTTGTAGTTTTATAAACTGTGTGATGGTGGTCCTTGTAGTTTTATAAACTGTGTGATGGTGGTCCTTGTAGTTTTATAAACTTTGTGATGGTGGGGCCTTGTAGTTTATAAACTGTGTGATGGTGGTCCTTGTAGTTTTATAAACTGTGTGATGGTGGTCCTTGTAGTTTTATAAACTGTGTGATGGTGGTCCTTGTAGTTTTGTAAACTGTGTGATGGTGTGGCCTTGTAGTTTTATAAACTGTGTGATGGTGGTCCTTGTAGTTTTATAAACTGTGTGATGGTGGTCCTCGTAGTTTTATAAACTTTGTGATGGTGGGGCCTTGTAGTTTAGAAACTGTGTGATGGTGGTCCTTGTAGTTTTAGAAACTGTGTGATGGTGTGGCCTTGTAGTTTTATAAACTGTGTGATGGGGTCCTTGTAGTTTTATAAACTGTGTGATGGGGGTCCTTGTAGTTTAGAAACTGTGTGATGGTGGTCCTTGTAGTTTTAGAAACTGTGTGATGGTGTGGCCTTGTAGTTTTATAAACTGTGTGATGGTGGTCCTTGTAGTTTTATAAACTGTGTGATGGTGGTCCTTGTAGTTTTATAAACTTTGTGATGGTGGGGCCTTGTAGTTTATAAACTGTGTGATGGTGGTCCTTGTAGTTTTATAAACTGTGTGATGGTGGTCCTTGTAGTTTTAGAAACTGTGTGATGGTGTGGCCTTGTAGTTTTATAAACTGTGTGATGGTGTGGCCTTGTAGTTTTATAAACTGTGCAATGGTGGTCCTTGTAGTTTAGAAACTGTGTGATGGTGGTCCTTGTAGTTTAGAAACTGTGTGATGGTGGTATTTGTAGTTTTATTAACTGTGTGATGGTGGTCCTTGTAGTTTTAGAAAATGTGTGATGGTGGTATTTGTAGTTTTATTAACTGTGTGATGGTGGTCCTTGTTGTTTTAGAAACTGCGTGATGGGGTCCTTGTAGTTTTATAAACTGTGTGATGGTGGTCCTTGTAGTTTAGAAACTGTGTGATGGTGGTCCTTGTAGTTTAGAAACTGTGTGATGGTGGCCCTTGTAGTTTTAGAAACTGTGTGATGGTGTGGCCTTGTAGTTTTATAAACTGTGTGATGGTGGTCCTTGTAGTTTTATAAACTGTGTGATGGTGGTCCTTGTAGTTTTATAAACTTTGTGATGGTGGGGCCTTGTAGTTTATAAACTGTGTGATGGTGGTCCTTGTAGTTTTATAAACTGTGTGATGGTGGTCCTTGTAGTTTTGTAAACTGTGTGATGGTGGTCCTTGTAGTTTTGTAAACTGTGTGATGGTGTGGCCTTGTAGTTTTATAAACTGTGTGATGGTGGTCCTTGTAGTTTTATAAACTGTGTGATGGTGGTCCTCGTAGTTTTATAAACTTTGTGATGGTGGGGGCTTGTAGTTTAGAAACTGTGTGATGGTGGTCCTTGTAGTTTTAGAAACTGTGTGATGGTGTGGCCTTGTAGTTTTATAAACTGTGTGATGGTGGTCCTTGTAGTTTTATAAACTGTGTGATGGGGGTCCTTGTAGTTTAGAAACTGTGTGATGGTGGTCCTTGTAGTTTTAGAAACTGTGTGATGGTGTGGCCTTGTAGTTTTATAAACTGTGTGATGGTGGTCCTTGTAGTTTTATAAACTGTGTGATGGTGGTCCTTGTAGTTTTATAAACTTTGTGATGGTGGGGCCTTGTAGTTTATAAACTGTGTGATGGTGGTCCTTGTAGTTTTATAAACTGTGTGATGGTGGTCCTTGTAGTTTTAGAAACTGTGTGATGGTGTGGCCTTGTAGTTTTATAAACTGTGTGATGGTGTGGCCTTGTAGTTTTATAAACTGTGCAATGGTGGTCCTTGTAGTTTTATAAACTGTGTGATGGTGGTCCTTGTAGTTTTAGAAACTGTGTGATGGTGTGGCCTTGTAGTTTTATAAACTGTGTGATGGGGTCCTTGTAGTTTTATAAACTGTGTGATGGGGGTCCTTGTAGTTTAGAAACTGTGTGATGGTGGTCCTTGTAGTTTTAGAAACTGTGTGATGGTGTGGCCTTGTAGTTTTATAAACTGTGTGATGGTGGTCCTTGTAGTTTTATAAACTTTGTGATGGTGGGGCCTTGTAGTTTTATAAACTTTGTGATGGTGGGGCCTTGTAGTTTATAAACAGTGTGATGGTGGTCCTTGTAGTTTTATAAACTGTGTGATGGTGGTCCTTGTAGTTTTAGAAACTGTGTGATGGTGTGGCCTTGTAGTTTTATAAACTGTGTGATGGTGTGGCCTTGTAGTTTTAGAAACTGTGTGATGGTGGTCCTTGTAGTTTTAGAAACTGTGTGATGGTGGTCCTTGTAGTTTTATAAACTGTGTGATGGTGGTCCTTGTAGTTTTATAAACTGTGTGATGGTGGTCCTTGTAGTTTTAGAAACTGTGTGATGGTGTGGCCTTGTAGTTTTATAAACTGTGTGATGGTGGTCCTTGTAGTTTTATAAACTGTGTGATGGTGGTCCTTGTAGTTTTATAAACTGTGTGATGGTGGTCCTTGTAGTTTTATAAACTGTGTGATGGTGGTCCTTGTAGTTTTAGAAACTGTGTGATGGTGTGGCCTTGTAGTTTTATAAACTGTGTGATGGTGTGGCCTTGTAGTTTTATAAACTGTGTGATGGTGGTCCTTGTAGTTTTATAAACTGTGTGATGGTGGTCCTCGTAGTTTTATAAACTTTGTGATGGTGGGGCCTTGTAGTTTAGAAACTGTGTGATGGTGGTCCTTGTAGTTTTAGAAACTGTGTGATGGTGTGGCCTTGTAGTTTTATAAACTGTGTGATGGGGTCCTTGTAGTTTTATAAACTGTGTGATGGGGGTCCTTGTAGTTTAGAAACTGTGTGATGGTGGTCCTTGTAGTTTTAGAAACTGTGTGATGGTGTGGCCTTGTAGTTTTATAAACTGTGTGATGGTGGTCCTTGTAGTTTTATAAACTGTGTGATGGTGGTCCTTGTAGTTTTATAAACTTTGTGATGGTGGGGCCTTGTAGTTTATAAACTGTGTGATGGTGGTCCTTGTAGTTTTATAAACTGTGTGATGGTGGTCCTTGTAGTTTTAGAAACTGTGTGATGGTGTGGCCTTGTAGTTTTATAAACTGTGTGATGGTGTGGCCTTGTAGTTTTATAAACTGTGCAATGGTGGTCCTTGTAGTTTAGAAACTGTGTGAT